CGCCTAAAATAGGCGATTAGAAATAAAAACAACACGATTAAACATAACATTTATTCAGGTTCTATCAATAAAAATAAAACAAAAAATACATATGTATCTCTTAATATAAAATACATAATAAAAATAATAACACGAACACTTGCAAACAATTGCCTGTATAAATAAAGAAAAGGAAAACCTTACTTGTAAAATTTAAAGCAAATCTTTGCCAATATATATAATTATATATATTGGAAATTTGGAATAAACAGGCGACGATGAACAAAAAATATAAACAAATACAAACAAAAGCACGATACGTTGATTCCAACGGTTGTCAAAGTTTGCTTTAGCTATCTATTGTCTTTATATAAAAACTATTAACCACCTGTAAATTGTGGAGAGTTATTTAATTATGCCATAGATGGCGACAAATTATATTACTAAAAACTGTTGAAATTACCATAATATATTATATGTAATACATATATAGAAATTACAGTAAAACCTATGAAAACAAAGTAAATAATACCATTATTTTACAAACTTAATATTATCCATAATTATTTATAATAAATATTTAGATAGCAAAAACATAATTACTTTTTTATTAGGTTTTCACCACAATCCACACATGCCTAAAATAGCTATTTTAGGCATTTGTTTGGGACATTGAAATTAATCCTAAACTTAAAAAAATAAAGGCCTAAAATGGCGAAATTTTGATTTATTGTCCTAAAAGGATATTTTTATGAGCCTAAAATAGGCTCTTTTAATTTTTCAGTAAAATATATGTTTCTAGAAACAAAAAGGCATTTCGCCTAAAATCCGGTCCTTGCTGATAACTAATATTTGCTATCTATCGGTATACATAGTTATCAATCAATCAACTTTTGCGACTACGTGTGTCGCAATTCTTATACCAAGCCAATAGGGTGCTATAGCATTTACCTGCCACTCTGCTCTCTTTCTTTTTAATAATTAATACTTTTATTTTATTTAATTTTTTTATATTTGGGTTATTCCATTAATAGCGGGCCAAAAAGACTTTGAAATTTAAGTTTAATTAAGGACTTGCTAATTACCTCAAAATACATTTTTCACATTTCTCTATACAAAATCACTATAGACTGTAATAACATAACATTAAAATTAAGTTTTTCGTGAAAAATTGCAAAAAATCAAAAAAACATTTTCACGGAGTTGAGGTAAGTGGTAACGGTGGGGAGAAGTAAAAACTCCATGTATCAAAAACTAAGTTTAATGCATTTAAAAAACTTTAAAACTAAACAACATTCTTATACAAAATAAAAACAGGTAATTATAACGTCGGCATAGAGCAAAGTTTAATGGCTATAAAAAACTAAAAAAATATTCTTATATAAAATAAACACAGGTAATTATAACTTTTTAATTTAAGATTTTTACTTTTGGTAGGTCAAAAAAATGCTGCCCACGCTTATTTATCTTGGGCTCTGATGCTAAAATGAACTCAAATCTTTATAAATACACCTAACATAATATATAAGCAGAAATTAACAATTTTATTTAAGTAACTAAACAAGTAACATTTGGACATCGCACTTCACAGCGTTTTCACCCTATTGAAAATGCCATATAGAACCCATATTGAATCCGATAAGGAAACGTATCTGGTTCTATATGGTTTTATAGGTCCTATATGGAAAGTCCTGGTTTACATTACGGATTCTATATGGTTGAATATGGATTTCCATTTTAAAAATTTTCATATTCAACCATATAGGGAAACCTATCTGGAAATACATATAGAACAGAAACCAGATAAATCCATATACAACCATATACATGTCTTTATAAAGACATGTATATGGATGTATATGGTTTTATCTGGTTTCTGTTCTATATGTATTTCCAGATAGGTTTCCCTATCTGGTTCTATAGTGTTTTAGAGTGTTTTTATCTGGTTCTATAATGTAATCTTCTATCTGGTTCTATAGTGAAATGCCTGTTTCAAATACCTATATTGAACCAGATAGAAACCATATAGAATCCAGATACGTGTTTTTATATGGTTCTATATGGCATTTTCAATAGGGCAGCCATTTGCACACCACGGCTCGAGCCGCCACTAAATGTGACGAATCGTCAGTGACGATTCGTCACTGACAATGTTAACCCCTCCCTCCGCCAAAGGGCCATGTGACAAATTATCGATCCCGGGGTAGGCCTACCCCCTAAAAAAAATCCGATTTATTTTTGTATAATCTAATCAGATATATGTAGGTATAAGAAATTCTATTTTCACGTGACATTTAAAAAAACCCTTTCCCCCTTGGGCGTGACAAATCGTGACGGTTCTTCAAACCATATATGGCTCCATGATTCAAACCCTCACCCCCCTTCTAGCGTCACGTGATTTATGGATGGTCCCAAAGATATTGTAATATTGCGTTAATAATTTAGGATAATACTTTTTTAAAGAGTTAAAAAAAATCTGTTAACATATAATGATGTGTGATAATTGTCAAAAATTGAGATAAGATGTTTTTGCGGGCGTCGATTTATTGACTTTTTTCCCATTGTGCGCTGCAAATTGCAACTTGTAATACACCCAACCACTTCTTCTTCTTCTTTCTTAGTTGGCAAAAAGCCTTAATGGTCTCTGTTTCAATACCATTTTGGGGTTATATCCTCGAGCGCTCGAAACCGTCCACCATGGAGCCTACACAAGGAGTCCGAACTGCATGTAAACAAGAATCTTCCAAAGGAAAGTAGGCGCTGGTGTCCCGTTTATTCTGAAACAATTGACTAATTTGTACCGAAACGCTACCAAAAGAGCAGACGGCAGGACGCATCAACAATCAGCGCCGCTGCACTGTGGGCCCTATGCCCAAACTAGGTTGCAATAAGTCATTATTGAAAATGTATAATTTGCCACTATTGTTTTATTAAAAACATATTCAAACTTGTAAAAACATAATTGCTTTTTTAAAATACTCTACGAAGACTTTTTTATAAATGCCCAATGTCAGATCTTTAAAAGAAAGTATATTTTTAAGGCAATCGTTTTAATTAAAACTACGATTTTTGCGATTTTTTTTATAGCTTAGAGGGCCGTGAAAAGCAAAAGTCGCCTTAAACATTTCATAACTGACATTAGACCTGTCAATTAGTTGTGTTGGGTACATAAAATTATGGAAAATTCGTGTTTTTTTTTTGTTTTTGGCAAGAACTGATAAGGTAATTAACATGAATATTTAATTTTATAGTTTTGCAGAGTAAAAAAATAGGAAGGCCAACGAATGCCAAGCCAAAATATATATTTTTTATTAGACAAATATGTAGACTACTAAAAACTGTTAACCAAAAAAATCGTAAAAAATCGCGAAACTTATCCCAGCCAAAAATGTAAACCTCTGAGAAAAGAAAATATTAACAATTAATAGGAATCTTAAGTTGTTTATCGCATGTATTGCTTGGACAATGAGCAAATTATATACATGGCGTTTAATATTTGTTAAAAGTGTTTACGCCGGTTTACGCCTACTTTTTCTTTTTATCGGTTTTTAATATTACATTAAGGTGGCCTAGATGCATTGTTAAAAATTGCTCAAAAGGCATTAAAAAATCACATTTAAGTCCAGAATTATGTTAAGAATCCGAGAATGTAAATATATAAAGGGGTTTCTATTTAATTTTTTGAACCTGGACCCATTTCCGGTGAAACCGGAAGTGACTGAAAAAATATGCGAAAACCTTCCTCTTTATAGGTACACCATTTACCTATTACCAACACTCTGTATTTCACTTTTTATCTGCTAAACGAAGCAACTGCGTTGAGTCAAATTGACCTATTTTCAGAAAAGGAATCTCTAGATTTATAATGTTCAATTTTTGGGATAAAACATAGTAACTATCGCGATATATCGATAGTAGGTATGCAGACATTACAAAATATTTTTTTCTGACTAAACCGCTCATCGAACTTTTACAAGAGACAAAAAAGTTTTTAAACAAAGTAAGCTTTCTATTTCCTGGTAAACCATTATATCAACAGTAAAAAAAATACAAGCGAAAATTAGTACCTAACCTTGCTTTTCTGATTATTCTAATTTTTAATTATAACTGAGTGTAGCACCAAACGACGTTAATTGGAAGTTAAAACTTATATTCCAAAAATATTAAAAATACATTAATACGTTATTAAGATATTAAAAAAAAATAGTTATTTTTCAAAACTTTAAAGACCTCTAACGACTAAACGAAGCAACTTAGTATATAGGTAATTTGGGTTAAATCGACTTATTTTGATCCGTAGATAACGTTGGTATGGTTTGTTACCCTAGTGTAAGATAACCCTGTATTTTATAAATTAATTTCCAAAAATACTAATGTGGCAACACTGGAAAATGAAAAAATAAATTATATAATTAATTACCAGCATTGCTTAGTCTCAAAGTTTAATTATTTTTAAAGTTTTAAGTAAATAGAAAAAAAATTGAATTAATGCAACCTAGTTTGGGCATTGGGCCCACAGTGCGCTGGTGGTGAAAAAAAAAAGACTTAATTTGTGAAATTTAGAGGGCAGGTTTTGTCAATTTTCCCTATTAAGTTCGGGCTCCTTGTGTAGGCTCCATGCCGTCCACCCACAGACATGTGAATTTTCCAATCTTGATTCAAGATTGGAAAGATTCTTGAATCATCCACTAAGAAAAGATACAGGAATATTTCTATTCCCGGAATCCACTTTTGTCCCTCCTGGGTCAAAGCCAGCTATTTTTCACACTTTTTCATCGAGCGATACTCACGAAAGACAAAATCGAACCGACACCTAACCACAAATTATAAAACAATATATTTAAGTTAAATAATTAACCCACCGTCACGGTGGCACCGTGCAATAGTAGTTAATATACCTATTCTGTAGTTCAAAAGTTATTAAACTTACGATTAGAACTACTGGTAGAAGACCAATATAAACATTTAAAATGCACGAATTTAATTATTTATAATTATTTAACATAAATTATAATAAAAAAATGTGGAAACTTGTACAAAATTACTCCTGTTTCAATAATATTTTAAGGTAAGCTTTTAAAGGAGGATTTGAGGTTATCTTATATAATTAAGAATTTTAGGCATTCCTTATGTAAAAATCCATATAATCAACGTTTATTTAATTTAAATTCGTACAAATATAATCTGTTTCGAAATGCAAAACCCCAAAATACCAATAAAACTAAAGTTAATTTGACATTTCCAAAACTTACAACTATTGCTTTAACGCTGAGTGGTGGAAGTATTATACAGATAGTATTAAATAAAAGTAATGTTTATTGTGATGCCAAGAAAACTAGACTAGCTACTTATCGACATGGATCAGACAAAAACCTAAAATTTGATTGGAAACGATTCTGGGCTTACTTACAACCACATATGTGGTATTTTGTAGCAGCAATTATTGTTAATTTACGATTGGCAGTTACTTAATAACAAATTATTTTATTTAATATTTTAGGGGGCCTTAGCAGTGGCTATTTTAAATATACAAATACCACAAATTATGGGAGGGGTAATAAATGTGATAGCCAGGTTTAGCGAGACAAAAGATAGCCAGATGTTTATATCAGAGATGAAGTTGCCTGCTATTAAAATTGTTTCAATGTATGTTGCACAGGTAAATGTAGGGTTTTTATTTACAAAAATTAAATAATTGTTTTTTTTTCTTCTTAGAGTATCTGTACATTCTTTTATATTTATATGATGTCTAATTTGGGTGAAAAAATTGCATATAATATGAAAACTGATTTGTTTAGCTCTATTCTAAAGCAAGATATTGCGTTTTTTGATAGGCAGAGGACTGGGGAAATAATAAATAGGTTTGTAATGTGAAATATAATAATATAATATTAATAATCATAATTATTATTAATATAGGTAGGTAATTTAAATTTTAAATGTAAAAAAGGGAAATACTAATATTTAATAGGTATATTATGAAATGAGTATAGTTTTAAGCCACAAATCTAATAAAATAATTTCTTAGTTAAGTTAAAACTATTTGTTTTTAAAATTTTTAGGGGTGAACTATTAAATACAAGCATTTAAAGTTACCTAAATGTCTATGATTTTGATAATAAAAGTGCATATTTTCTAAAAGCTTTGCACCAACATTGTGCTTGACCTTTATCTATGAGGCGCCATTTGTATCATAATTATTCCATTTAATATATATTTATATATACCTACTAAATATGTATTGTTTAGTAAATATATATATTTTTACTCAATATATAAATATTTTTCAAAAATATATTTAAATGCATAAATATATATACATATACATATACATATATATGGGGCAAAATTTGCCAAGTGTACCGGGTGGAAAAATTTTTGTCACCGATTTTGTTTAAACTTTACTTATTTGTTGTTCTTATAACGAAGAATCATAGGGGCATTCCACGTTACTCGGTAATTTTTGTCCCGCCCGTCACAATTAAAAATTGTGAGTAAAAACCACAAGTTATAAAATTAATATTTTATAATATTATTTTTATTGTGCTTATAACTTATTAAAAGCATAATAAAACAATATTTTTAAATAAATTTTATAACTTGTAGTTTTTACTCACAATTTTTTATTGTGACGGGTGGGACAAAAATCCCCGAGTAACGTGGAATGACCCCATAGCATAAAAATTTTTTGCTTTAGGATTGTTCATTCAAGAGTTATGGATTATTGAAATTTATCGATTTATTACTTTTTGGTGAAATCGCTTTTTATTTAAAAATTCATAACTTCTGTTCATCTCTTTATTAAATATTTTAATTTAACCACCTTAAATGATTTTTTCCGTACTTTTCAATGGGCTATACCGTTTTTGCAACAAAAAAAAAATTGCAATTTTTTTTTTAAATTTTGCAATATTTTGCTTTTTTTTAAACAATGTGTATTTTTTAATTTTTTTTAAAATAGCATAAAATCGAAGTTTATTATGTTACCTTTAAATAAAAAAAATTTTTAGAGTGGGCCCGACATGTAGAAGGGAAGTTTTTCATATTTGAATGCGTGCGGGTCTAGCCATCGAATAGCTACTACACTGCCGTATGCGTTTATACCTAGTAGATGCGAGTAAACGAATACAAAATGATAATTTAAAATGTAAAGTTATGTTTGAGTAGTCAATGATATATTTTAAATATTTACACTGCCGCACGATATAGTTTTTTAACTGTATTTTTTTGCACAAATTGTTTAAGCATGGGTCTACATAGATTTCGCAAGGAGGATCGATGATATTAAATAAAAAAATTATTGTTATAACCGTAACGGCTTGCCTATAAGCTGAATAGGTCAATGGCATTAATAATATATAATGTCTATAAACGGTTTTTGCTGTCATGACGAGCTCTAAACATTCGCCGTACGGACATTACTTACTTTTTAAACCGTAACGGTCAGTCAGAATATTTGTGTTTCCAATCGGCAGATTAAAATATGATTTTTTTTAATTTAATTAATTACAGAATAAAATATGATTTGTAGATTTCGTAATTCGGAGGATTTTTGGCGGATATTACTAGAATAATGTTAATTTTTATTTTTGTGGCTAAAGAAAAATACAGAAAGAATAAAGTGTTGGTGTTGTTTTTCTTCAATTTTTCGCCCTACCTTACTAATTTTACATTTTATCATCATTTTGTATTCGTTTACTCGCATCTACTAGGTATAAACGCATACGGCAGTGTAGTAGCTATTCGATGGCTAGACCCGCACGCATTCAAATATGAAAAACTTCCCTTCTACATGTCGGGCCCACTCTAAATTTTTTTTTTCTTCAAAGGTAACATAATAAACTTCGATTTTATGCTATTTTAAAAAAAAATAAAAAATACACACTGTTTAAAAAAATGCAAAATATTGCAAAATTTCAAAAAAAATTGCAAATTTTTTTTTTGCAAAAACGGTATAGCCCATTGAAAAGTACGAAAAAATCATTTAAGGTGGTTAAATTAAAATATTTAATAAAAAAACAGAAGTTATGAATTTTTAAATAAAACGCGATTTCACCAAAAAGTAATAAATCGATAAATTTCAATAATCCATAACTCTTGAATGAACAATCCTAGAGCAAAAAAATTTTATGCTATGATTCTTCGTTATAAGAACAACAAATAAGTAAAGTTTAAACAAAATCGGTGACAAAATTTTTTTCAACTGGTACACTTGGCAAATTTTACCCCATATACACGGTGTTCCAACGAAAACTTGTACCCCCCCAAACGTTTTATCGGATGAGTGTGGACAAAATTCCTTGGACACGTCAATTTTTATTTTTAGGGGGACGAATTTTGATGTATGTTTCACGCCCCCACCCGCACCCCTACACGCTCCACCCCGCCCGCCCCCTAAATTTTAAATTGTAAGGGGGGTTGAGTGATATATCATTTTAAAGGTCTTTTAATTCTTTATAAGGTTCTGTAATTTTTTTAAAATCTGTTGGTTAGTTTTGGAGAAATTGCTACCTATTTGAAGTTTTAAATTTGGTACAAAAAATAAAACAAAAAAACCGTAAATCAACGAATGTATTGTTCAAAGTGATTTCCTCCAACCTCCGTGCAATAGTACAGACGTTGAATAAAATTATTTCTAACATTTTGAAATACGTCTGGCGTTAATAACCGGCATTCTCTAATAATTCTTTCCCTCAATTCCTGAAGAGTCTTTGGTGGAGTGGCATAAACTTTTGATTTCAAATGTCCCCACAAAAAAAATCTAACGGTGTTAGATCAGGAGATCTAGGCAGCCACTCTATAGGACCCCTTCTTCCAATCCAACGTCCTGGAAAATTTTTGGACAAACAAAAATTGTCGTACCTCAAGAGGAGGTGCGCCGTCCTGTTGAAATGTAATTTGATCTTCAAATAAATTATTATCATTTTCTAGAATTTCGGTAATCATTGGATCAATAAGATCTTCCAACATTTCTAGATAAATGTCTCCATTGAGGTTGCCGTCTATGAAAAATGGACCAACAAGATGGTCCCCTAAAATTCCGGCCCAAACATTTAACTTTTGGGGAACTTGGGTGTGGGTTTCATGGAGCAAATGTGGATTAGTATCCCTCCAATAGCGACAATTATGTCTATTCACTTGTCCATTTAACATAAAAGTGCACTCATCCGAAAAACATGTATTATACAAAAGATTAGGATTAATAATCAACTGCTCACTGAAATATATATTCGCAAAATTATAACCTGCGATCAGGGTCATCTTCATTAATTTCTTGAACCAGCCGAATTTTGAAAGGATGAAACTTGTTCATTTTCATGATGCGAAACACACTGGTGGCGGATACGCCAGAGGCTTGAGATAATTTCCTGATAGACTGTGTATTATCCATTTGTACATGACCCAACACAGCAACTTCTATAGCTTCATTTCTTACTGGACGGTTTGCCTCACGTTTTTTGTTGTGGATGGAACCCGTAGTTTGAAACTTAGCTACTAATTGTTGAACATATTGGTAACTTACGTTTTTTTCGGGATGATTATTATTAAAAAAACGTGCCGAGGCGTTTGCACAATCATTATTTCGATAATAAGTTGCAATAATTTCCGTTCTTTCTTCAATGGAGTATACCATTTTGAGAATACGTTGTAAGGTTCACAATGTTAAACTAAAAAGGTTCAGAAAGCTAAACTGATAACGACTTATTGAACAGAGCAATAGGCATTTACTAATTATTCTTGATAACTGCATTTAAATAAATCCGTGTGGTGCGTGCGCGCGTTACCATGGCAACCTCATAAAAAAATGTCATGCATGCATGTACTTTGAACATTAAATTCTTTAATTTACAATTTTGTTGTTTTTTTTATTCTACAAATTTTAAATAGCAATTTCTCCAAAACTAACTAACAGATTTTAAAAAAATTACAGAACCTTATTAAGAATTAAAAGACCTTTAAAATGATATATCACTCAACCCCCCTTACAATTTAAAATTTCGGGGGCGGGCGGGGTGGAGCGTGTAGGGGTGCGGGTGGGGGCGTGAAACATACATCAAAATTCGTCCCCCTAAAAATAAAAATTGACGTGTCCGTTTGGGGGGGGGGGTACAAGTTTTCGTTGGAACACCCTGTATATATATATATATATATATATATATTAGGGTGTCCCTTATTTTTTTTTTCACGTATACCCCCTAATTATATTTATTACGTGTTTATATACTCCCAAAAAAAATTTTAGCTCATTCTATAAACGGGAACCCGTGCCGACTTGCATCTGAACCCTCCGTTAGCCAACGTCAGGCGCGCGGTATTTTGTAACACGGTTGGTCGCGAGGTCTTCGATCGTAAGTCATTTTGTGTTTGTTATTATGTGACCCTTATATTATAAATTATTGACAAATGTTAAAATATAGTTTTATTCATGTGTATACTTTGATAAAAATGTATATTTTCACAGGGAGTAGCTAGTTACAGGGAAGGGTCTATTGAATAGGCCGTAAACTCTGAAATTGATAAACTTAATGGGTTTTACTCTAAATAACTAAAAGAGTCTATTGTGGGAGATGACTACCGAAAACTTATTGAACTGTCTGAAATATTTTTGGGAGGACATCAAGAAAAGATATGCTTATAAAAAGCTGAAATTTCTTATAACAGTATATTTTAGCAATACTAATTAGTATATTAATATATTTAAGGGATAAAATCAACTAAATTAGTGAAACAAATGATAGAAACAAAAGCAATAATATTAATTAGTAATCATATTTAATGAAATCATTAGAAAAATACAGTCAGGAAGTATATCTTCTTTTTAAAGTGTTTCGTGTTACAAAATACCGCGCGCGCCTAACGT